TGTTCAACTCATATGCCTGTCTTTTGTTTGGCTGGAAGCCACAGGTGTGGGTTCAATTCCAGACCTGAAGGGCAGCTAGGGGCCATAGTCTCAGGGATTCCACCAGGCTTTATCAGAGCAGCAAACATGGTCTCCTTTTTTTTTTTTCCAAATGATTTTGAGTTTTGTTCCACATTGTTCTCCCTCTCGATCCAGGATCTCCTGCATAGATCCCCCTCCAAAGTGGTTGACAGTGGTAGCCAGGCACCATCTAGTTCTTCTGGTCTCACAGTCATATAGGCTGTGGATCTCATGGTGTACCAGTTGCTAGGACTAATTGTTTCCATGAATCTTTGGTTTTCTTCATTATTCTTTGCTCTGGATGAGGAGAGACCCATCACTGCACCTAGATGGCTGCTTGTAAGGTTTTAAGATCCCAGTCACTACTCACCAAAGTAGGAGGTGGAACAATGTTTTGTGTAGTATGTTATGCCAATTGAACTTGATGCCCTCTGAGACTATGTCCCAAGCCTACCAGTTTAACTACTCAGTGCTCCTGAGTAGCTGCCTGTGACCAAGAAGTGACTACAAACTTGCCCCTTGTCAGCTCTACTATACACCTGGGAATTCTTACAGAACATACAAATACACTTACAGGACCAATGTCTGCCAACCCTATACATGGTCTTGGGGACACTCCCCGCTTCATAGACATGCCTAATAGTTCAGTCTGTCCACCCATCTATACACCCATATATACCTGTGTTTGCCTTCACTGACAATGCAGTACTGTATGTGCAAAAGGGTTCATCTTTGTTGTCTGTACCTCCCATGGACCTTAATTTTTTAAAATGCATTTTATTGAAATATAATTTATGTACAGTGAAATACACAAAATTAAAGTGACATGGGTCAATGCATTTTTTTTTTTCTTCAGTGTTTCCTCTCCTTCCCTCCCACCCCTGGCACCAACAAAAAAAGTTTCCCTCCATATATAAACCTTTCCTTGACCCTCCACAACAACGAACTAATACTATATTTGTCCTTCTGTAATTGACTTATTTCACTCAGCATAATGTCCTCCAAGTTCATCCATATTATGTGGTGTTTTGCAGACTCTACATTATTCTTTAGTGCTGCATAGCATTCCATTATGTGTATGTACCAGAGTTTGGTCATCCATTCTTCCACTATAAATCTTAGAGATAAGTCCCTTGCCAGAAATGTGATTCAAATATATTCAAATTCAAATATGAATTTGTTCCTGTCATTTTTGTTATGTGCTTTTTTATGGTGTCGATTTCTTTGTTCCATATAATTTTCTATGCAGAGCTCGTTTTGTTTAGTGTTATCACTTCCTTCATTGCTATTGTTTTAATATTTGCTGAATATTTATGCTGGTCCTCTTTTTTGACATTAAGGTTTATCATTTTTCTTTGAGGCTACCCTGTGGTTTATAGTTTTATTCCCAAGTTTAGAACAGTCTCTTCTATCTTGTAGTTGTCTTGACTTCCCTACTACTATCTAGAAGTCCTGTAATGACAGTTTTTTTTCCCCCTCTTTTTGGTTTGTAGTTGTCCTCATTTGTCAATTGATGTCCCTGGTTCCCTGTTTACAATCTTGTAGGCTTCTTTACTTTGGATACTTCCAAAGCTGGGTTGGTTTCTGGGTTATGTCATCCTGTGTGTTAATGGTCAGTTGTTGGCTGTTGTTGCTTCTCTGTCCAAAGGGCACCCTTTAGCATCTCTTGTAAGGTTGGTCTGGTTTTTAACAAATTCCCTTAATTTCTCCTTACCTGGAAATGTCCTAATGTCACCATCATATTTGAGGGACAATTTTGCTGGGTACGTAATTCTTGGTTGGAAATTTTTCTCGTTTAGTGCTTTATACATACCATCCCATTTTCTTCTTGCCTGCATGGTTTCTGTTGAGAAATCCAAGCTTAGTCTTATTGGTTGCCCCTTGTGGGTAACTTTTCATTTTTCCTGTGCTGCTAGAAGTTGAGCCACAGGGGTTGAGTTCAGTTCCTAGCTTGAAGGGTGTCTAAGGATCACAGACTCAGAGGTTCCATCAGTCTGCATGAGACCAGTAATCCTGGTCTTTTTTTCTTTTAATGATTTTGAGTTTTGTTACACATTTTTCTCCCACTCTATTCTGGACCTCTTGTTGTGATCTGTTTTAGATGGTTAGCAGCAGTACCAGGCACCATCTAGTTCTTCTGGTCTCAAGGTTGTGAAGACTAGGGTTCACATAGTCCATTAGTACTTTGGACTAATTGTTTCTTTGATTTTTTCCGGACAGGGAGAGACCTTAGATGACCACTCACCAGCTCTAAGATCTCAGTTGCTATTCACCAAAGTAGGATGTAGAACATTGTCTTTCTGGACCATGTTATGCCAATTAACCTTATTGTCCCCTGAGAGTGTGGTCCTGAGCCCCCATGCCAGTGACTCATTTTCTCAAGGTATCCAGTTATGACTAAGAAGTTTTAACAACATTGGTCCCTGTATGCTCTACTGTATTCATGGATATATTTGCAGAACATAGAAATACATGTGTAGAAAGATCCTCTGTCAAACCTATACATATCCGTGGGTACAGTCCCATTCCCCTTCCTATCCATGTTCAGCTTGGGTGTCTGTCTAGGTACCTATCTGTAGATCATTGTTATTACAGGATTGTGTATGTAATAGTGTTCATCTTTGTTGCCTTTAATTCTTGTTCTCCTCCATGTCTTCCATTGCCTTAATCATTTTGTGCAGACCTCCTTCCTCCTTACTGTATATTACCTTTCTCTTTACCCAAGTTAATACATGTCTACCCTCTAGTTAGTGATTTACCCTCTTTTCCCTTTCTACTCCTGGTAACTTTAAAGGATGATTCTTTTTGTGTGTACACCTATTCTTGACTTTTTACAGTTATGGTCTCATACAATGTTTGTACATTTGTGATTGACTAATTTCACTCAGCATAATGTTCTCTAGGTTCATCCATGTTATGAGTGTTTCACAGATTCATTGTTTTTCTTTAATGCTGCGTAGTATTTAATTGTATGTACATACCATAGTTTGCTTATCCATTTATCTGATGAAGGCCACTCAGATTGTTTCCATCTTTTTGCTATTGTGAATAATGTTGTGATGAACACGGATGTGCATATGTCTGTTTGTGTCGCTGCTCTTTATTTCTCTAAGAGACATGCATAGTAGTGAGATTTCTGGATCATAAGGTATTTCTATTTCCAATTCTTTTTTTAAAAAATAATTTTATTGTGATTTGGGTGAAAATTTACAGAGCAAATTCATCTTCCATACAGCAGCTCACATACACTTTGTCTCATGACATTGACTACAATTCCCCACAATGCAACAGCTCTCTTCCCACTTCCTCCCCATAGTTACCTCTTCCCTGTGTTCTTCCCTCCCATGTACTCCTCCTCCCTGAACTGTGATCTGTTTTAGATGGTTAGCATGTGATGTTTTAGATGTGCAAACACAGTACTTCTAATCTTCCATGAGTGATCTCTCCAGGGAGTGTATCTACCTAATGTAAATGTTCAGCTCATATGCCTGTCTTATGTTTGGCTGGAATCCACAGGAGTGGATTCAATTCCAGTCTTGAAGGGAACCTTGGGGCCATAGTCTCAGGGGTTCCACCAAGCTCTAACAGACCAGCAAACCTAGTCC